GCCTCCCGATTCAGGTAGGGTCGCAACTGGCGCACCAGGCGTACCTGGGCGAATGCCCCCCTATTTATTGATAATCAAATTTATATAGCTGCCCATCTCACCAAAGGTGACTCTGGATAGCACACAAGAGCTAAAAGAGCCAATATAAAACAAATTTTAAATCTAAAACGCCACACTGATAATTATCATAAAAATGCTAACTGTAGGTGAAGGAAGGATAAAAATGTATCCCTCAGCAATGAACCCATTTGGAGAAGTTTCTGGTTCTTTGTGAGCTCCAGGCCTGGCAGCATAATCAGGCCTTGAGGGTCTTTCAGAATATCAAAAGGAATTTTTAATGAAAAAAAAATGCAGCCAGCCCAGTTTCAAAGTTGGCGCTTCACCACATTTATAAAATAAAATATCCACTTAATGAAGAAAACATTGAGGTTTCAACTGTAAAATATGTTTTACACTCATTATTCTTTAAAAAAAATGCTTACTACTCCTTGAGATCTTATCATCTGAGGGCTCAAACCTCCCTTTTAAAACCTGGGAATGTGAAAGAATTTAGCGACATCTGTCTCCATCCCATTCTTTTTCTTCCTTTAAAAATGATCGCATATATGAAGAAGAAATCTTTCTGGCACCCTCTTGACTTCCATAAAAAGTGACCTTTTGAATATTTACCATGGTCTTTTTTCCTCCTTCATTCCCCGTTGGGGAAGCATTTCCGTAAGGCACCTCTGAATACAGTATGAAAATCCTCTTGAGGCAGAGGAGAGATAATCAGCTCTGTTTCTTTGCTTTGTGCAGAGAGTAATCAAATGTGTAGAATCACTTTCATTTCGACTCCCTGCTGTTTTCCTTCCCGTTTTCTGGACATCCAGTTGACCCGCTCACTGTCTTTTTCATACGTGCAGGCAGTGTGATTGGTGGAACTGGGTCATGTATCTGCCTCTGGCTATCACCATCATGCCTTTTCCTTCAGAGGGAGCATTTCGGCTTGCTTAGGGACTCATGAAAAGCTTAAGCAAAGCAGATCAGTTTCCATGGTCACACCGGAAAGAGCTATGGTGTTAGAATACAGCAATTCCAAATTCTTTTGAGTAGGAAAAACAGTGATAACAGAGGAGAAGGATTTATTTCCTGGTATCTGCAATCCCATAGATAATTTCTGTGTTTACCCAAATGTCTTTTTAAAGCAGAATTCTGCAATTAGAAGAAAGTGGTAAGCCATTGTTTAGTGCAGTGAGCATTTTTTTAACCAAGCACAGATATTAGGGGTTATAGGTTATTGTATTTAACATGTGTTATTTAACAACCCAGCTTTCTAATGTCAGAATTCTGACCAATGCCCTAATAAAAGCAGGAGCCTCAAGCCAGATTTCAAGAAAAATCCAGTTATTAGGCGCACCATCTTGGCACGGACCTAGTGAAGCCAGCTCTGCTGCCACTCAGTTCATGCCTTGCCTCTGACCCTGTTTTCCCCTCCCCCCAAGGTGTGTCATCAGTCACATTTTCAACACAGCAATTTTGCGATCACAGAAGTCACTCCCTCCAGCCGTTACTGGTTTCTGTGGAGATGACCTTGATTTTGGCCAGCTAGGAAGTGCATTGTGTTGATTGAGGTGCAAATTTCTCCATTCAGCCGCAAGGCTCAATTCCCCATCCCCCTGCCTATGGCAACTTAGAAGCAAGTTAGGGAAGCTTTACGAGTTGACACTTCCTGACCCAATCATTTTTTATCTTTCTCTGGAAGAGAATTTCACAATGGAAATGTACATTTGTATGTCTGTACTTCTTTACACAAGAATCTTCAAGCATGGTTCCTATTGCTTTTTATAACTATGATAGAAACAGAGATAGGCAGGTAATTGTAGTATTTAAGAACCAGAGTAGAAACCAATTTAAGGATCAGAGAAGACTGTGAATTCTTGTTTTAGCTTAAATGCAGAGTCAGCTGTGTAACTCTGGACCAGTCACACTCTCTCAGCCCAAGGAAGAAGGCAATGGTGAGCATTTCCAAAATCTTGCCAAGAAAACCAAAGAGACTTCTCTAGCTAGTCACCAGAAGTTGGTACTGATTTGAACGCATCCCCTGTCCCAAAGAAAACAAGGAAGGGTATAGTTGGGAAAATGTCCTCAAAATCCCACATCAAGAATCTAGGCATCAATTGTTCTTTTGTCTTATGTCCAAGCAATCTTTTTTTAATCTTAAAGGGTTTAGAAGAAAAGAAAAAAATTGGAAACCTGCCTTTTAAACTTGGTAATTGCATCTGTTGTTTTTTTGTTTTTTTTTAGAAAATCTATACCTAACTTTGGACCATTAATTAAAACTGTAACATTTCAATGAGGAGAATTTATAAAGTATACTGGCAATTCACTAGATTCACTTGCCTATCTTATTTGAATAATTCCAGGTGGTTTTTTAAAATTATATATACACTAGGATGTGTTCATTATACATACACTAGGGTGCTCATTTATTATAATGCATACAAGGTGTTGAGACCTTTAGAGTGAGGTCACAAGGCTAATTCACAAAAGGAGGCAACTTTGGTTGTTGTGTTTTGAACAAGATGGTAAATTGTTTAGCACTTTCTCATTAACTTTTCCTTCCAATCCTGATGCATCAGGGAGAATACAGGTTGGGAACTGTAGATGTTCATTATTACCTATTAACCTGGTATATTCTACCTCATTCAAATGTGATCCATTCTTTCTATATAATGAATTCCCCAGGGCTTTAAGAAGTAGATGAGAACCGCATATAGGAAATGAAAGAGTTGTAAAGAGCTGCCCTTGTTTTTCAGAATCAATTGGACTGCGTAGCCTGCACAAACATGGAGGGGGATTGTTTGAGCTGCATGAAATATCTGATGTTTGTCTTCAATTTCTTCATATTTGTAAGTTTTCTTTGATTTATCACATGAGGTCTTTTTCATATGTCTCCTCAGGAGTTGGCTATACTTTGGTAGAAGTATTAGAGGTGCAGAAGACACCTTTACATTTCATAGGTAGCAACATTTAAAACAAGCAATTTGCTTTTTATCAGAAGCAGCAGGTCATTTTTACAACACTTTGAAGTTTGAAATTACTGATGAGACAGAGGCTGCCTTTGAATGGATGGCCCATGGATGAACTATAGTTGTGAGATACTACAATTCTAGAGCTGGTGTTAAGTGTTTCCAGTCACTTGGGTACCTTGGCAACTTATGATTTTATGAAGGCATGGAATATGATTGTATAAGTGTCTTTTTGCTCAACTTCCATTACAGATAAAAACCATTAAAACTTGACATTTTAAGAGACCTCATATGAGTGAGAAGCCTCCATTTATAGATTGTATTCTGAAGTTTCAGTTTTCCTTGAATGCCAGAACATTTTCATTATTTTGTTTCTAATTGTTAATGCTTATCTTGCTATACTGTTTTTTTTTCCTTTTGCCTTATAAACGTGAAAGTGGGGAATGTAAACCACCTTGGACTTGAATGGAATATAAGCCCATGTAGGTAGGTGGGTAGGTAAATAGACAGGTACTGAGCCAGTTTAGTGTAGTGATTAAGACAACCGGCTAGAAACCAGGAACTAGGAGTTTTAGTCCTGCGTTAGGAACAAAACCAATTGAAAGACCTTGGGCCACTCCGTGTCAGTCCTAAGAAGCAGGCAATGACAAATCACTTCCAAAAATGCTTACCAGGAAAACTTTAAATGTCCTGGCAGTTACTAGGATCAAAGTCATGGAGGGAAACATGGAGGGAGGGAGGGAAACTGTGACTGGCAGTACTAGCCTAAATAGCAACATTGGCATGTTCATTAACATGTTGTTCAAGAACAACAAACTGCCTTCTCATGTCACCCAAGCTCTTGGCATGAAATATAGTCACTGTTGAATCCAACTTCTTCTGGCAGTACCTTTGTTTCTGCAAAAGCCATCTCAAGATAATGTATATTACCTGTGTATGCAGATAATTCATTGTAGTTGAAGTATTTAGCAAAATATTATCCCACTGAAATCTGGATTCACATATCATTACATTATGCTAATCCTTAATGCAACTTGTTTGATTCTCTTAACTGGTCTAATGAATCCAGCAAATGATTACCTGAAAGCATGACTGAATCCATCCACTTTGTGACCATAGTTAAATAAAATGATAGCTCATTGCAATGTTTAAACCTCGCTATAGAATCAGGAATATCTAAACAATTAAGAGGCATCTAGCAATCCTACCAAAAAATAATAGCAATAGCAGTTAGACTTATATACCGCTTCATAGGGCTTTCAGCCCTCTCTAAGCGGTTTACAGAGTCAGCATATCCTCATTTTACCCACCTCAGAATGATGGAAGGCTTAGTCAAACCTG